TTAACCCACAGCGCCACACCAGGACATCATAATAATTAGTATCATATAAAATCAAACTTATCTTCTGCATTTAGAGGATATGCCGCTAATGTTCCATGTGCTGTTTTTTCTCTGTTCTAGGATGTTTGAGGCCCACATGCAGAACTACAAGGGTGACGACCCACTTGGTGAATGGGAAAGGTTAGCATTTAACTTACCATTTTCCTGTAAACAAACTAGTTGCTGCTCTGAAATTTGACCTAATCTCTGTTTTTCTAGTTACATGCATTGGGTAGAAGAGAACTTTCCTGAAAATAAAGAATACTTGGCAATGTTACTACAACATTTAATGAAGGAATTTTTAGATAAGAAGCAATATCACAATGACCCAAGATTTATCAATTACTGTTTACAATTTGTAAGTATTCTTTCAGATGTATTAAATCTGTGATACTTTTGTTTTGCCTTTCCCCTTTAGATATGAAAATCGCTTTACTACTAAAAATAGTCAGAGGATTTGCTTTTCAGTCAATTTCAGCTCCTGACAGCCCCATGTGCTGCAGTGTAGAAGTGGGTTCCACAGGAGGGGTCAGGATAAGCAGGTATTCCCAGGTGCTGAGAGGGTTTCTGTAAGTAAATTAAGTTTATTGTGAATAACTGATGAAATAACTCTGAAGCAAAAAATCAGCAATAAAAAGAGATTACTCCCTCAATTTAGGTTTTAAAGTGTTGGGACTCTTTAATCTGGGAATTTAATGCTTGAGAGCATATGAACTCTAGAGATAAAATCATTAATGGAATGGATAGGAAAAACATGGATTTGATTACAAACTACTGGGATGGGAAACATGCTAAGATAAATAAAAGGCATGCTTTAGATAATGGGTCAGTGTAGAACACACCATCTTGGGAAATAATGTGTATAATTGTAAGGATAAGAATAGGAGTGTGCCTCCTTAATTTTAAGGTTGCTATCAAACAACATGACTGCCTTCTTCATTCCTGAGACCTTCATGACAACAGTATGTTGGGGGCTGAATGGATGCTAGGCCAGATTTCCTTTCTTCTTATGTCTGTTTATTTGGGCTTTTATAGGCTGAGTACAACAGTGACCTTCATCAGTTTTTTGAGTTTCTGTACAACCATGGGATTGGGACCCAGTCGTCACCAGTGTACATAGCCTGGGCTGGGCATCTGGAAGGCCAGGGAGAGCTGCAGCATGCCAGTGCTGTGTTTCGGAGAGGAATTCAGAAGCAGGCAGAACCTCGGGAGCTACTGCAACAACAGTACAGGTAGTTTCACAATAGAACTCTGCGTGTGGTGCTTCCGGCTTTCAAGTGTAATGCTCACTCTGAAAAGATCTCATTGTCATCTCTTTGGACTAGGAAATTCTCCTTGTGGGAAACACAGTTAAAACAGAATTGTTGTTGTTGTTGTTAAGTGCCATCAAGTCAGTTCCAACCCATAGCAACCCTATATAGGGTTTCCAAGAGTGGCTGATGAACCTGAACCCACCGACTTTGTGGTTCAGACTGACCTTGAAATCCTGTGCAGTAATCCACAGTGCCACACCAGGACTCCAATACAGAACAGTGTGAAGAAATAGAAACCAGCCAAAAGTATCGCTGTTAACATTGTCATGTATTTCCTTCCAGTATCTTCTCCTATGCCTGCTCTGTGGGTCTTTGTGTTTGTTGCGCTGGTAAAAGATTTACTGCCTCAGAAACCCTATACAGGGTCACTGAGTCCGAACTGACAGGACAGCACACCATCTTAAGGAAGACGAGCTTTTATTTTTATATTATAAAGTGGTTGTGAAATCTGTCAGAGTTGTATCATAATTTAACTATTCTCTAGCGAACATTTCAGTTGTTTCCAACATTTTGATTTTTATAAAGGTCAACAAGATGAATAACCTTGATTTTTCTTTTTTCCCCCTAATATTTTACTTTTTCTGTGTTTAAATACACCTCATTTAGGAAATTTTGAAAGCACAGAAAATTAAAGAAGAGACCTTTGATAAATTAATTGCTGTATTTTTCTCTGCTTGTTACAGTCTTACAAGTCCATTGTTGGTTGTTGTTGTTTGTGCCATCGAGTCGGTTCCAACTCATAGTGACCCCGTGTAGGGATTCTGAGGAGCAGTTTGTGACTTTGAACAGCTGGCCTTGCAGTTCAAACTGACTTTGCAGTCTGGCGCATAAACCCCACAGTGCCACACCAGGACTCCTATAAGTGCATTGTTGTTGTTAGGTGCCATCGAGTCGGTACCAAATCATAGCTACTCATGTGCACAGCAGAACGAAACACTGCCCGATCCAGGGTCAGCCTCAGTACTGTTGCCACGCTTGAGTCCATCGATGCTGCCACTTGGCTATTTTAAATACCAGCAGGATCACGCATGGTGGACAGGTTTCAGATGAGCTTCCAGACGAAGACAGACTAGAAAGAAGGAGTGATGAACTACTTCCAAATATTTAGTTACTGAAAACCGTATGAATAGCAGAGAAACACTGTCAGATACAGGGCCAGAAAATGAGCCCCTCAGGTTGGAAGGCACTCAAAATGCGACTGGGGAAGAGCTGCCTCCTCAAAGTAGAATTGACTGTGATGATGCGAATGGAGTAAAGCTCATGGGAGAAAAGCCCATGGGACCTTCATTTGCTGATGGGGAACACAACTCAAAATGAAGAGAAATAGCTGTAAACATCCACTGAAAATCGGAACATGGAATATACGAAGTATGAATCTGGGAAAATTGGAAGTTGTGAAAAATGAAATAGAACGCATAAACATCGATATCTTAGGCATTAGTGAGCTGAAGTAGACTGGTATTGGCCACTTTGAATCTGCGGACCACATGGCTTACTATGCTGGAAATGACAAACTGAAGAGGAATGGTGTTGCGTTCATTGTGAAAAAAAAAAAAAAAAGAAGAAAAAGTGCGTCAGTAGCTTTATATTAAGGTCTTTTTTCTTTATTGGGGAAGTATATTTTTATTTTTACCTAGTTCCTTTTCATAGATTCCGAGAATTGATATTACTAAATCAAGGGTATATGAAGAATTTTGAGGCTTTTGACACATTTTGTCAAACTACCTACTCAAAAAGTCCTACTCCTGTCCTGTTGCCGCCCTCTCCCCAGTGGCTCGAAGCACTGGTGGCTTGTTGTACTCTCATTGCCAGCACTGAATATTCTCTTTTCTTTTTCAACATTGCTACGGTGCTTATGCCTCCGAAAACTTTGTTATGAGACATTGCAAACATACATTGTTGTTGTTGTTTACCTTGTGGTTAGCGGTCCAGTGCCTCTCCTACAGCACCATACCAGGGCATACATTAAGAACGAAAGATTACTATAATGAAGTTCCATTTACCCATCTTCTGCTTCTAATAGGTATTGCCATTTATTTCACTTTGACCCTTCTTATTCCATGCTGAGGTGTGCTGGTGTGCTGCTGTGGGTTAATGCGCCTGGACTGCAAGGTGGGTTCGAATCTCAGCGTCAGCCAGCAGTTCAAGCTCACCAGCCTAGAAGGCCAGGGAGAGCTGCAGAGTTGTTATAAGTTGGAACCAAAAACAACAACATTCTCTGCTGAAGAATTTTAAAGCATATCCAAGACAGAAAAATATCTTACCCTAAATATGTCCATGAATATCTCTAGAGACCCTTGATGCTGTTATCACAGCTAACCAAGTTAACCATTTGTAGTCCATGTTGAAATTTTCTCATCCATGTGGGGAAAAAAATTTGTTTTTGTAAGTTTGGTTTGTTGGAAGGAACAAAGTCCAAACAGGGTCTACTAACTACATTTGGTTGTACATCTCTTAGTCTATACTTTTGTTTCTGCTGCCCAAAATGTCCGACTTGCATGCAGATGGCACCATATTTCTCAGGTGTATCTGATGTGTCAAGGTTCCTGGAAATGGCATATTTGAGAACTTCTCACAGAACATGAGCAATAACACATCTGCCTTTTGAAGGACTAGACTAAGTTTTATACTTTCACTTCATTCTTCGAAATATTATATTCATCATGATCCAGAGGTATGAAATCCAAACTCACTGCTGTCCGTTCAATTCTAGCCCATAGCGACCCCATGGGCACAATCTTAACTGCCCCATAGGGTTTCCAAGGCTGTGATCCTTATGGAAGCAGACTGCTATGCCTCTCACTTGGAGTGGTTGGTGGGTTCCAACTGCTGAGCACTATAACCACTGTGCCACCAGAACTCTGAACCAGATGTATAAAATGCCGAAAAGTAAGAACATCTTGTGTTGTAACTCTTAAAGTCTTGATCCACAGAGAAGGGTACATTTGTTATATTAGGTTAAGAAATGCTGGTATAAATTAGGGAAAATGAGGGTTTAATGAACTCTCTGTTGTATTTAGCTTCCATTGTAACACAAATGCATATTAAACTGTACATTTGTAATCTATATTGATGCCTTTACCACTGTCATTTAGGTTATTTCAGAAACGCCTCACTGAAACACATTTGCCAGTTCAAGGTAAGGTAATGTTTTCCAAAGTGTATAGATTATTGATCATTTAAGTCTCTGGTTTGCACTGCTTTTTAAAACTTCTTTACTAAAGCGAACAAGCCATGTAGTATCTATTGATTACCAAATGGTATTGTTTTGGGTAATAGGAAAGGTACTACCATGATAATAATACTCAGTAAATAGTCTGGCAAGCAGAAGCTCTTTGGTGTTTTAGAAAAGCAAACCCACAATAAAAATATGATGATTTAATTGTATTTTTAAAATGAAAATAATGAAATAAAACCAGGTTTGACACTAATACTTTGGAATCCTTGTATTCTGAATTGAATCAAATATACAAGGGGGCATTAAAAAAAGTTCATGGAAAAACTCCATTATTATCTAATTCCATTTTTCCATAAACTGTTTGAAGTCCCCCCCATATCTACTGCAACTTTTGAAAATGTCTGTATAATACTTCTCTTATCTAAAAAATGTTTGAAATTGTCACACAGTTTGAAGAAGTTGATTTATTTTTCTTATACTAATTGGTTGAAAGATTAAGAGAAATCTACTGAATGATCATTATATTTAGCATGATTTTAACCTTATTTCTCTTGATTTTCTCCTGTTTTTCCCATAGCTAGAGCCTCAGAACCTCTGCATGATGCTCAGATTATAACTCAAACAATAGCGTCACACTCACATCCAGGAAATAATTTGGGCTGTATTTCTAAGAATCAGGTAATAATAATGTTGGCAAGTTGTGAGGAGAATAGGAATGGTAAGGAATTACCCTCCTAGCTGGTCTCAACATCCACATTGAGATCTCCTTTTTTTCCCCTCATCTCCCATAAGTCTAGCCTCTGTGTTATCTTGTTCTTGAAGTGACTCTTTATCACTGCTCACCTCACATTCTGTTTAAATAGCCCATTGTCTAACTAGAACTTGCTTGTATTCATCTGACTTTGGGGCCTCTACTACACAACCTCCCGTCTTCACTTCTTCTTCTCTCCTACCTAAATCCTCTCCTGTGTCCTGCTGGCCTCTGGATGAAGACAAAGGCTCAGGAAATCTCACCTGGGCACATGCCAAGGCTCCTAAATCCTACTTCAAATACGCAGAGCTCTCCGTGCTGGTGCCTAGAACCTCACTCAGACTTTTAATACTCTTAGGCACTTCTCTCATTTCATTCTTCAATACCAAAGCTTGGAAATTATTAACTTTCCTTTACAATCCTGCCGACCTGGCCACATTTGTTAAGTGCTGTTGAGTCAGTTCCAACTCTTAGTGGCCAAGTATAGGGTTTCTGAGGCTGTAAATCCTCATGGAAGCAGAAAACCTCATCCTTCTATGACCCCATACTTAAGCAAAGACACTATTTCAATGAGATAACAGAAGCCATTAGATAACATCTGTCAGTTTTCTGTCACCAACCAGTAGATTTCCTGGCCATTCCAGTGGAAAAAAGCTTAGCCCTCTTTCTGTGATTCTCTTTCATCTTGTTACAGGAATTTCCGTACTGCAGTCTCATCTGAACTGATGGCTTATGAACATATAACAATGCTCAAGTCTCTCCTATCTTGAAAGAAGAAAAAGTTGTTCCCTCAGCCTCATGTTTCTCAGTATCTTTCCTTTTCATAGTACAGCTGTTCTTTCAGAGTTTACCAAGGAATGCCCCTGTCCTTAGTGTTCTTGTACAAATTTTATTTATGTATGTAACACACTCTCCTAGCAGCAGAATATACATGCATTTCTAACATTGGCAGAGACTGCCAGTTGCCTATCCCGTTTTATATTCTACACACGCTTGCCAGCCTCCTATTGCCCCATCTGCTAAGATTAGAGATGAACCTGTGTACACTTATATTCCCAACACCTCACTCAATAAATACTTGCGTAGTAAATGAATATTATCATGGGAACCACTGAAGGTCTACTGGTACTAGAAGATTTTAAATATTGTTGTGGGGTTTTTTTTAAATGTAGCTACTTGGGAATGTGAAACCCATAACACTTAGGCACTGTTGCCTGACTCCTAGATATGGATGGAAAGGAAATCAGTATCCTTCCTTCGTATAGCTTTTTCTTTTCTTTAACTTTTGTTGTGAATCCAATGAAGGTTTACAGAGTAGATCACTTGTCCATTCAACAATTCATATACATTTTGTTTCTTCCCATTGACTGCATTCCCCACAATGTAACATCACTTATCCCACTTCCTCCTTGTGTTTCCTGTTTCCATTCCTCCTCCTTTCTTAACCCTTTTGAACTTTGTCCTTGGGTAAATGATACCCTTTTGATCTCAAATGGTTAGTTCTTCTGAGTGCTTCCCTACTGTTGTTTATATTATAAGCTGATCTGTTATTTGGCTGAAAATTGAACTGTGGGGATGAGTTCATTTCCAGACCTGAAGGGTGACTAGGGGCGATAGTCTGGCGTTTCCACTAGTCTGTCTGATCAGAAAGCCTGGTCATTTATATGATTTTGAGTTTTGTTCCACATCTTTGTCCCACTCGTCCCTTTCAGAGTAGGTGGTTGTGGTAACCAGATTATATCACTTTTTCTTATTGGGCTCTTTAGATGTAACATTTATTATCATAAGGGTAATTATGCAAAGTAAAATGTCAGATATTAATCATAATTCTTTGTATGTGTGTGTATGTATATATATATATATATATACATACACACACATACACTTGGGTTAAAATCTACACAGTAAAGCAAAATTCAACAATTTCTACATGTGTGATTCACTGATATTGATTACATTCTTTAAGTTGCACAAGTGTTCTTATTAGCCTTTTCCAATTTATTTTACCACCATTGAGATAAACTCACTGCCTCTTTTTCATTGAATCCTTTGAGTTGCTCCTTTCAGTTTGAGCCGATGTAGACAATTTTTTTTTAAAGAGTACAGTGCCCAAGGCACAAATTCTTTACTAATTAAGCTCAACAATTATTTCATTTAAATATGAATTTAGATAGTGTTGATTTAAGATTTAAAGATTATATCAAAGCAGTAGTTTTGGAAGTCATCCTACCTCAGTGGCTCCAAAAAGTCTGGATTACATAAGATTTTGAAATTCTGTTCCAAAATTTACCCCTTTTGATCAGGATACTTCTCTAGAGTCTTTGACCCAAATATTTAGTAATGGTAGCTGGGCATCTTCCAGTTCTTCTAATCTCATGGCAAAAAAGGCAATTGTTCGTGAAGGCAATTAGACACACGTTCCATTTATCATTTCTTTTCTTGATTTCACTTTCTATGTGATTCCAGTCAAATAGAGACCAACTGTTGTACCTTGGAATATTAATCATAATTTAAAAGAGCATGTATAAATCTACTTTATGAGAAGAGGCCCATCCCTCAAATATTTCCATACTCTTGTGAAGTACTCGGAGTTAATGGCTTTTTTGTTCTTTTTTGTTGTTGTTGTTCTTTTTTTCAGGTGAGTGATCATGTTTGTTTTTTATCTTTTTAGGGTTCAGAACTTCCTGGAGTAACATCTTCAACTTGTGATATAAAGTCGAATAGGCAAGTACAATCTGTGCATTAATCTATTACCTAGTTTCCATTAAAGAGCTCTTCAAGTGCACTGTTATAAGTAATGTATTTTTCCTCAATATAGGGAACAAAGGGTGATCATGATTTCAAAATCAGAATATTCTGCACACCCATCTTTGACAGCCAAAGCCGATATTAAGCAAGTGGTTATGTACTGTAAGGAGAAGCTTATTCGTGGAGAATCAGAATTCTCCTTTGAAGAACTGCGAGCCCAGAAATATAATCAACGGAGAAAACATGAACAGTGGGGTACTTATGATCTTATCATTTGAGTTTTTAATGCTACTTAACATAATCTTTAGGAGTCCTGGTGTGGCGCTGTAGGTTAATGTGCTGGACTATGTCCAGCTCTTCCTGTTATAAGTCTATGAATCTTTGTTTAACACTAGCCTAGCAGCCACGTTTGTACAAGGACTTAAATTGAGGTCTTGACAGAAGAGCACATAGTTGAAACAATAATGCAGAATATATCCACACCAGTGTTTTGTCTTGTCTTTTAGAGAATTAAGGTATTTTAAATTATTTGATTTTGTCTTTAGGGATTTAAATTTCTATATACAATCTAAACCTCTACGTCAGTTATTTGTATTGTAAAAAGATTAGGATAGGAACTGGACTGGAGTTCTGGAGAGAGTTTTCATGATCTCAAATACTACAAATAAGACATTCAATAAGCTCCTCATCAAAGCACCATGATATTTATAGCAATAGGGTGACTCCAATATAGTGGATCAAGTTTTGTTACAGCAAAAACCTTGTTCGTAAGACCAGTGTTGGCATTTGGCTTTGCTGTAACAACATGAGCCTTGTTTTTAAATGCCATCTAATTGGTTCTGACTCATAGCACCCCTGTATAGGGTGTCTGAGGAAGGGTTGGTGGGTTTGAACCGCTGACCTTGTGTTTAGTAGTCCAGTGCTTATCCTATAGTGCCACACTTCCATATCATGTATCCAAGTTATTTGGCTACTACAGTTCTATGTTGTTGTTGTTAAGTGCCCTCGAGTTGGTTCTCACTGATAGCAACCCTGTATAGGGTTTCCAAGGAGCAGCTGGTGAGTTTGAACCAGTGACCTTGTGGTTCAGACTGACTTTGCAGTCCAGCACAGTAGCCCACAGCACCACACCAGGACTCCACTACAATTCTTTTGTTGTTGTTAATTGCCGTTGCGTTGCTTCCGACCCACAGCAACCCTGTATAGGGTTTCCGAGGAGTGGCTGGTAAGCTTGAACCGCCGACCTTGCGGTTCAAAATGACTTTGCGGTCCAGTGCATTAACCCACAGTGCCACCCCAGGACTCCGTTCTATAGGCCTTTCTTTTTTGTTATTTATTTCTCATATTCAGTCCACAACTAAGACAAGTCACTTGTCCTAATTTTTTAACTAAAAATTATGAAAGTTCACATGCCAATCAATAAGTCAATACTTGCTAATGTTGTTGTATACCTCAAATGACCTGTAATTAAACTTCACAAACTATTTTTTTACCTCTCCTAAAGTAAATGAAGACAGACATTATATGAAAAAGAAAGAAGCAAATGCTTTTGAAGAGCAGCTATTAAAACGAAAAATGGATGAACTTCACAAGAAGCTGCATCAAGTCGTGGAGACATCACACGAGAACCTGCCCACCTTTCAGGAAAAACCTGAGGTATGTGTAAGTTCTTGCTGACATTTCCCAGACCTGTCAATTTGCTTCTGCAAAGATTATGGCCAAGAAAACCCTTTGGGGCAGTTCTACTTTGACACTTGGGGTCACTGTGAATTGAAATTGATTCGTCCACACCTAATTCTTGTGTGGAGCCATAGAAGAAGCACTCTACCTCAAGGTCAATTTGAATTGCAAGGTCGGTGACTTAAACTCACCAGTTTTCAATTCAGCTCCCCTGAAGGTGTACAGCCTCAGAAACCCTATACAGGGTTGCTCTGAGTCAAAACCAACTCGATGGCACTTACCAACAATAACGATATCAACAATAAAGTATTGTCATCTGAACAACATTAAGTCTTTCAATCCATGAACTCAGGTGTCTTTTCATTTACTAAGGTCTTCTTCAATTTCCCTGAATGATGCTCATAGTTTTCCTTGTACAAATCTGGTGCATCCTGGTTAATGTATTTCTAGGTTTTAGGATTTGATTCTTCTTGATGATAGTGCAAATAACATTGCTTTCCTAATTTCCTTTTCAAATTGTTCGTTGCTGGTGTATGAAAATACAACGGATTTTTGCCTATTGATTTTGTAATCTGCAACTGTGCTGAACAGTTCTAACTAAACCAGCTCTAACGGTTTTTTGGTGATTCTTTAGGGTTTTCTAGGTATTAGGGCCATTGAGTCAACTCCAACTCATAGTGACTTGTGTAAAACAGAACAAAGTGTTGCACAGTCCTACACCATCCTCATTGGTGCAACCACTTTCTACAGATGTAGTTGCTATCAACTCCAACGTCATGGTGAGCTCATGTGTGCACACTAGAACTGCTCCATGGGGATTTCAAGATGATGACGTTTTGGAAGCTTGCTTTTTGAAGTACCCTGTTTTTTGGTGGGATGTCTTGATTTACTCTCCATTCTTGAAGTAATAGTTTTTGCTAGATGTAGAGTTCTTTGTCAGTATTTTGCTTTTGGCACTTTAAATGCCATCCCACTGTCTTCTGGCCTCCATGGTTTCTGCTGAGAAGTCAGCTGTTAAGCTTATTGAGGATTTTATGTGGTTGCTAAGTTGATTCTCAGCATTCAGGCTTAGTCTTTGTCATTTGACATTTTGATTGTCATGTATCTCTTAGTATGGATCCCTGAGTTTATCCTGGTTGGAATTCATCACTTCTTGGATGCATAGCTTAATGTCTTTCATCAAATTTGGGGAGTTTTTGACCTCTATTTCTTCTAATATTCTTCTTACTTCTTTCTCTTCTCCTTCAGGTATTCCTTATAATGTTTGGAATACTGGTGTGGCACTGTAGAATAAGCACGGACTGCTAATTGCAAGGTTGGCAGTTCAAACCCACCAGTCACTCCTGGGAAATCCTACACAGGGTCGCTATGAGTCAGAGCTGACTCCACGTCACTTAATAACAGTATATAATGGGTGTGCTGGTCTGCTTGGTGGTGTCTCATAGGTCCTGTAGACTTTATTCTGTTTCTTTTTGCTCCTCATACTGGATAATTTTAATTGCTTTATATTCAAGTTTGCTGCTTCTTCCGCATACTCAAATCTGATGTTCAACCCTTCTAGAGCATCTTCATTTCAGTTATTGTACTTTTCACCTTCAGAGTTTCTGTTTGGTTCATTTTTATATATAATTCCAGCCTCATTTTGTTCCTGCATTTTGCTGAGTGAGAGAGGTGGCAGAGCACAAGTGCCATAGCGGGACTCTCCTCTTCTGTTAACTTTTTCTTGATTCAGTATTTGCTTGATTGCTGTAAACTGACTCTTTTCCAGAGTTCTGACAAATTTAGTTCTCATCCTTTCGGTTTGTTTGCAGTGTTTCTTTAGGGGTCAGGAGCTTGAATCTGTCTACTTCACTGTCCTGCTGATGTCACTTCTTTGTGTGTTTTTTAACTTCATTTTAATAGGTTATAAACTGTTTATGTACGATGTTTCGTCTCATCTGTATCCTTCTGCCCAGTCTCATTCCATTGGTACCTCACAAGTATTCATATGGCAACTGTTACTAGTTTCTTGTGTCATTTTTCATTTTTTGTGTTAATATACATTCTGCCTTTTTTCTGTCAGAGGTAGCATTCCAGATATGTTTTTGACTCTTTGCTGTTTTTCACTTAGAAATATGAGGAGACTTCTAAAAGTTCCTGGAAAATATAATACAAGATAATGGATGGAGGCAGACATACAGACATGGAGAGAGGGAACAGCTGAGGACTCTAGATTCATGGAAAGAGAGGGACTGGGTGCTGGCAGCCAGGAGGCAGGCTTGCAGAATGTGCCCTTTGGTTGTTTAAGTTATGATATATTCCTGAGTGTTTTTGTGTACACCCTCTTCCCTCCCCCCCCCCGCAAAACAAAACAAAAACAGAGGGAAGGAAAGCAAATACTGTTGAATGATGATGCATGGAGAAGATTGTAATCATTGCAATGAAACGATGGTGTAAAGCCCATGTTCTCCCATGTAAACTGTCACTCATTTCACAATAATAATAATAAAAAGATAATGGAATTTTTCTACAGACATCTTTAAGGCCCCTCGTATACCTGAAAGGGTATCGTGTATCAGTGTATAGTTTCTTACTTTATTTTTTTCCTTTCATATTTTTGAGTGTACCATGCTTTAACCAGATAGTAACTAACCTCTTATTGTTATAAAAATGCTTCAGTAAATAACTTTGTATTTAAACTATTTAAATATATCTTTGGATAAATTTCCAGAAATGGAATTGGCCATGTTAAAAGGTATATACATTTTTTAACTTAATAAAGATTGTCAGTATGTTATAGGAAGTTTCTTTTTGCTTTCATTTTCAGGTAGATAGACTTGCCTGTTTTTCAAGTCATTTGTAGGATCAAGATAGGGATGTGGTGGTGGTGGTGGTTGTATGCTGTCAAGTTCTGACTCAAGCAACCCTGTATAGGGGGTCCAAGGCTATAAATCTTTATGGGAGCAGAAAGCTTCATCTTTCTCCTTTGGTACAGCTGCTGAATTTGAACTGCTGAACTTGCAGTTAGCAGTCCCAATGTGTAACCCATTATACCACTAGGGTTCCTGGATAGGATTGTAGGGGGAGTGAAGTAGGGTAAATGAGAAAAATGACTGATTGTGTAGGTTATTTGTTTTCTCGAAGAATTCCTTGATCCTGTGAGTATCATATCACATATATACTGTAGAAAATCTTTGAAAATATAGAAATATGAGAAGAAAATAAAAATCATGTATAAATATACCATTAAGAGATAAGCTTTGTTAACATTTTGATGTTTTTCCTGTGTTATACACACACACTCAAGCAGAATTTTGTCTTTATTTTTCAATAGTATACTGATGTGGCACTGTGGGCTAATGTGTCAGACTGCAAAGTCATTTGAACTGCAAGGTTGATAGTTCAAGCTCACTAGCTCCTCCCTTGGAAGCCCTATACAGGGTCTCTGTGGGTTGGAATTGACTCGACGGCACCTGACAACAACAACAACTTCTTAAAGCTAATTTAGAAATGATAAAGAGTAGATTCCTTCTTACTTAGGAAAATGTTCACAATTATTATTAATTTTATTTTAAACATAATTTATAATGCTGTATAATCTGTTGCATGAATGTTACCTAATTTATTTAACTAGTCTTACTGTATTTTTGGAGTCCCTGTGTGGCCGTCTGGCCTAATGCACTCGACGCAAGGTCGGTTTGAACCATAAGGTTGGTGATTCAAGCTCACCAGCCACTCCTCTGAAACCCTATACAGGGTTGCTATGAGTTAGAACAGACTCAACGGCACTTAACAGCAACCATACTTTTACCTTTAAGAGCATTTCTAAATTCCTTCAGAATTTCATATTCTGCCTAATTTTAATCTTTACTAATTTGATAGGTAAGAAATTGGTAGGTCTATCTGTTTAGACCACAAGGTCAGCAGTTCGAAACTACCGTCTGTTCCACGGAAGAAAGATGAGGCTTTCTGCTCCTGTAAAGATTTACAGACTCAGAAACCCTGTACAGGGTCGTATGAGTCGGAACCGACTCCACGGCACATAACAACAACAACAATCTGTTTAGATGACAAAGGCTTTAACGAACATTTTTATCACTTTGTCCATATAAAATAACTACTGCTACTCTAGAGATTGGTGTTTTTCTTAACAATTTGTAGCAGTACTTGTATGTGGTGATAATATTAACCCTTCTTCCTTTTAACTTTATAACAGTTGAGTATAGAGTTATAGGTTAAGAAAACATTAAGTAGATAGCAAAAATTTTAGATTAATAGCTTATCCTTTCCAGATGAAATCTCCTTTTGTAACAATTACTAGTGCAGTTTATATTCATATTACCTAGTCATTAAAGTGAAATAACTTAACAATGAGATTTTAATGGGAGGAAGACCATTGTGAAAATTTGACCACATGGATTTTAAATCTCTTTTCCAAAACTAAGTAAAGAGAAATAAGACTATTCTTAAATACTGATTGTTGTTGTTGTTAAGTGCCGTTGAGTCGGTTCCAACCCATAGCGACCCTGAATAGGGTTTCCGAAGCTGTAAATCTTTACAGAAGCAGAAAGCCTCATCTTTCTTCTGTGGAGCAGCTGGTAGTTTCAAACTGCTGACCTTGGAGTTCACAGCCCGATTTGTAATCGCTAAGCTACCAGAGCTACCGGGGTTAAAATTATGAACTGCTGCTTGTAACTGATTTAGAAGCTACAAAACCATCCATCATATAGAGTGGTCTTTTCCTATTGATTATTCATTTCTGAATACTTGCAGGCCTGAGGGAATGCTTCAAGAGGAAAGGAATGTACTGAAAACAGATGCAATTCTTTGGAAAACTTCCATATCTAATTAGGAATATTCTGGACTTCATAGTGTTGTTTTTTTGTTTGTTTGCTTTTCATGATAGGTTCATACAACATGCACGGGGCCAAGTGTGGGTACCCAGGAGATGCTGAGAGAATCGTTTGTTCCTGCCATAGATCAGCCAACCGCAAGCAGCATGAGAGAGAGGCCCAGAGAGGCACTTCCTATTGTACCACTTATGGCAAACCCTCTCAGTGCTGCTCTGGTGTCTCCAGCCACCGGCCCGGTGGGAGCTCACCCTGTTCGTTTGACAGCACAGCCAGTGACAGACTCTGTTTTGACAGCAGCCAGCAAAGGCACCAGGTAAGCAGAAGGCGGTCTTGGAGGTGATAGTGATGTGGGTGGCATCTGTCAGTTTCTCTTCATGATCGGCAGCATCAAGAGCAGTATGTCAGAGGAATGGGTCTTGTTTTTTTAAAATAGCTTTTAATAGATGAGTAAGTTGTTGGGGAAAAAAAAAACAAGTTACCAAAACATGGGCTGCAAATCTTTTAAACATATTCCATTCGTCTTGTAGAGTGTTTGTGATACTTCACTCATGCTTTTCTCTTGAATTAAGAACTTTCAGTGCTCTTAAACTTAGCAGTCTGTTACTGAAGAGTGTACAGCTGTTACACCAAAATTACCTTTGCTTACTGGTTTTGACCAAGTAACTGGGGAGATTATTGCTGACCAAACAGTCTTTGACCTGTGACCTCATGTTTGATTCCTTCTGCCTTCCCATGGGGCTTGGTTTGGGATTCATATCTGTGACACAATATGCCAGTGTCCACGTGTGCACTGCTGTGGAGGTTCCCCCCTCAATTCTGAAGGGTTATTGTGTACTTTGAAAACTAATGTTGTATCCTTTTTTGATTTTCAAAATTTTATATCCAGTGACATTGATTATATTATGTTTTTAGAGGGATTTGTAAAATTTGAAGCTTAACAAAATTTGTAAGGGAATCCTAGCAATGTTCAATAGACAGATGAGGCCCACTAAACACAAATTGACAATAATATATGAGGAAGCTTCGGAAGTTTATGGACAGATTCCATTGTCTTTTGATTCTATTTTTCCATAAACTTTTGAAGCCCCTCTTGTAAATGTTTTGTATACCTTTTTTGTTTTTTCCTTTCAAAACTGTTGTTTTTTGTGATACAATAGTGAATGATTGTTATCAGGATTGATTGTGAGGTAGACAATTTGTAGCAAGGAAGGGAGTGATTAACTCTCCAGTCTAGGAACAGAGGTCTCTAGGACCATCAATGGAGAGGAGCCAAGAGCGGGACCCTACCCAGAGAAGCAGCGAGTCCCGAGATAGAGGCAGAGACGATGACGTGGAGTGATGAAGCAGCTAGGGACTTTGGATCCAGAGAGGGAGAGGGATTGTGTGCTGAAGAATGGGGGGGGGGGGGGATGTAGGGGGCAGGTTTATAGGGTATACCCTTTTGGAATGAATGTAAAACTAAAGTTATCTCATGTAAAATATTATATAATTCACAATAAAACATGAAAAAAAAAAAAACTGTTGTTTTCAACGTCAAGATAAAAATACACTGGTCACTGGCTCGTCACAAAATTGTCTTGTGTTGCTACAGGACGCCAGTGCTTCCCCATATTGTGATCCTGCTTTGGGCTCCCTGTGCCTTTTAGCCTACGTAATAAATACCTCCCGACAAAACAAGCTCACTGCCATCAAATCAATTCCAACTCATAGTGACCCTGTATGGCAGGGGTGCTGTAGAAGGCCCATGGTTTGCTCTGCCAAGGCAACCACAGCTCTAGCCAACATAATTTTGTTGTTGTTAAGTGCTTTCGAGCCAGTTCCGACCCATAACGATAGGGTTTCCAAGGAACGGTTGGTGAGCTTGAACCACCGATTTGCGATTTAAACCGACTTTGCAGTCCAGCGCATTAGGAATGCGTTAATTAAATGTTTGGCCAAATATAGCCGGCTAAGTTTTAAGATGAATGATGTTACACATTTTGGCAGAAAGAAGGTTCCCTACCCCTGTTGTATAGGGTTTCTGAGACTATAAATCTTTATGGGAACAGAAAACCTCATCTTTCTCCCATGGCATGGCTGGTTGGTTTGAGGTGCTGTCCTCTAATGGTTCAGTACAGTGCTTATGCTACAGCACCACCAGGGCTCCCTGTGTAATAAATAGGATCATGGCACTAGGGAGATGATTATTCCGTCCTTCCCACAGTTAGGGAGGATGATTTCGCCGTTAACATGCAGATCCACTGTGTCATGTAAGTGTTTACTACCTGGCTTTCATCTGTAAGAATTATTTTCCCTTAAAGAAATCAAAAGAAAAAAAAGTTATTTTGTTTTCTTAAACTATATTCATAAGCAGTTCCTTCTGCTTTTTAACACAGGCTTGTAATTGTTGACGAATGTTTGAAAGTTAGTTGAAGGTTCTAATGTCAAGCATTTATATTCCAGTTTGTCTCAAGAGTTTTCTATTCCAAGATGTGTGAGTAAAAGTACTCATGAATTCAAGCCTCAGAGTGGAGCAGAGAACAAAGCAGGTAATATTTAATTGTAATAAATTTGCTTCTGACATGTTTGCCCAACTCCTCCAGGTTGATCAGAGGTCTGCTTTTAGGCTGTGGTTACTTAAGGTTTCAGACCTTAGTGAGCCTGGGTGTTAGCTTTCCCCTGCTTAGAATGTGTAGTTATATAAGCTCTTGACCATTTCAAATAAAGGTTGAGATTCACTTAGTAGTCACATTGGATTCATTTAAAATTAATTGCAAACTTACTAATTTCTGAAAACCCTATTAAATTCTTCAGCAAAACGTCCGTTAGATAGCAGTCTATTAGACACACTTGCCTACAAGATAAGTTTTATAAATAAAGACGCACAGACTGAACATTAATTCTTCCTCCCTCTATGACTGTGACACCCTTCCCATGAGCACTGTAGTGGGGAGCAGAGCTATTTGAAACAAACAGCTGGAGATTTATTTAACTAAGACAGAGTGAGCACTCACTACATTCCAGACATTGTTCTAGGTAATAGGTGTATAGTCATGGACAAGGAGAACAAAAATCCCGACCATGTGAAAAAAAGAGAAAAAATGCTGGGCCTCTGTGTGTCAGTGTGGTGAGCCTGACCAGGAACGGCCACAGTATTATTGCAGGCAGAGGGACCAGCCAGTGCAGAGCCCTGAAGTGTAGAACTGTCCCCAGTGTGCTGTTCGACAAACAGCAAGGAGGCAGTGCAGTTGGAGGGAGAAGGGGAAGATGAGGCTGGAGGGAACTGCAGCTAAATGATGTGCACTATTGCCTGGACTTCAGCTGAATGAGATGGGAAGCCTCCCTAAGATTTACAATGTGATTATTGACATGTATTACTTGAAATACTGTGGCGATAATGTTAGCTGTTTATGATCAGATTGCTTTTTTAGTGTGATCTTGTTAAGTGCCATTGAGTCGGTTCTGACCCATAGTGTCCCTGTGTAGGGTTTCCAAAGAGCGGCTGGTGAGCTTGAACTGCCGACTTTGCAGTTCAAACCGATTTTGCAGTCCAGCACATTAACCTGCAGCCCCACACCAGGACTTCTTAGTCCTGTAAAAATGGGGAGGCCATGTCTGACTTCCTCTGGCTTCGCAAAGGGGCAGGAGAATCAAACTCAAAATCAGCCCAAGGCCACATGAGAGGCCAAAGGCAAGAGCGAGGCGTGCCTGTGGTACAGCATTCCTGACTGGAAAACTACTGCATCCCGAGTAGTTTCTGGTCCTAAACTATATTGTGTTCATTTCACTATTAATGAGTTTATGAGGTCTGTGTGGCCCCCTAGGTCTCTGCCCTGCCTCATCAGGTGTCACAAAGCTCCGTTAGCCAGTGTGTAAATGCCCAAAGGACACATCCTACAAGCCAGCCTCCTGCCCATGGCACTCAGCTTTACTCAGTCCCTAGGCTAGGAAACCTGCAACTGCTCTGTCCACGCCTCCGCCTCTGCCCCGACCCTGTGCTCCTCCAGGTATGAAGCTCACGACCTGCTCATGGCTCTTCTTTCCTGATGGTCCAGGAATTGTTTCTTCCTGTTTCTGAAATGACTCCTTTTAACCTAACAGGATGGCAGAACTAATCCCAATACCAGAATCCTGTATGCCCTATTTGTATGTTTCCCTGAACTGTTCACCTCAAGGTTGGCTATCAAACCCACCAGCCACTGCTCAGAAACCCTGGATAGGGTCACTATGAGTCAGAATCGACTCAATGGCACTTAACAGCAACAACAAGACTTTGGACAGAAAAGCCAGGTCAAGTAAATTCACAGTGCCACAGGCCCCAGCCACTTACTCTCTCGGAGCCTTAATTTATTTTTCTCTAAAACGATGGTTCTTGCCTTACCTACCACATGAGGCTGATACAAAGATAAAAATAAAAAAATATGAAAGTACTGCAATAACATACAACCTTAGTGATAATTGTTGGCATTGATAAACTATTAGTTGGTATAACTTACTTAAATTGTGTGTCTTCTAAATTATTTTGGTTTCTTTACTGATAATATGTTTTATCCCAATTCCTTTCCCAGCATATGAAGCACCTAAACTGACTACTGCAAATTCTTTTCATACAACTCCAAACACATCCCTGGGAATGGTTCAGGCAACACCATCAAAAGTGCAGCCATCGCCCACGGTCCACACAAAAGAAGCATTAGGTAGACATTGTGTTGAATGTGTAACATTAATGGAAGCTCTTTTACAACTATGTTTACAGTTATTCTTTCTGTTCTTTTAAGGTTTCATCATGGATATGTTTCAGGCTCCCACACTTCCTGTTATTTGTGATGACAAAGATAATTGGTTATCTCTAGATGAAAATGAAGATGCATTTGAAGCCCAGTTTCAAAGTAATAAGATGTATTTAAAGTCTACTAAATGCATTGTGGGTGGTTGCCACAGGAAATATCAGGGATTGTGCAAGCTGTAGGCGCCCTGGTGGCACAGTGATTCAGCACTCAACTGCTAACTAAAAGGTTGGCAGTTCAAACCCACCAGCTACTCTGTGGGAACAAGATATGGCAGTCTGTTCTTATAAAGTGTTTTTGTTGTTAAGTGCCGTCAAGTTGGTTCTGATTCACAGTTTCTAAGGAGCAGCTGGGTGGGTTTGAACTGCTAATCTTGTGGTTAGCAGTCCAGTGCTTATCCTACCGCACCACACCAGGATAGCCTTGGAGACCTTTGTTGTTGTTGTTGTTGTTAAGTGCCATCGAGTCAGTTCGGACCCATAGCGACCCTGTACAGGGTTTCCAAGGGTGTAAATCTTTACGGGAGTAGAAAGCCTCATCTTTCTCCCACGGAGCGGCTGGTGGTTTTAAACCGCTGACCTTAAGGTTCGCAGCCCGATTCGTAACCACTACGCTACCAGAGCTCCTTATTGGGAGGTAATTCTACTCTGACCCGTAGGGCCAGTCTGAATCAGAATCCACTTGGTTTTGGTATACAAGATACAGCCCTGCCCTTGATTAAGTTGTCGCATAAGAGCAGGGAAATGTGTGAAATAAAAACACAGCAATGTTTGACAAAGTGTGTGGAGGGTAGATTTTATTTTATTTTTCAATAACATTGTTAAGTGCTGTCAAGTCAGTTCCAACCCATAGCAACCCTGTATAGGGTTTCCAAGGAGTGACTGGGTAAGCTTGAACCGCCGACCTTGTAGTTCAAACTGACTTTGTACTCCTAGATAAGTAGGATCCAGTAAGAGAAGATTTGAAATTTGAATCTAAGAGGTTAATATCTTGCTTATAAGGAATGGAAAACAAAAGCTCCCAAAGCTTTCTCCCATGAGTCAAATGACAATGCCAGTGTTTTAAGAGAATCAGTGAAGGCATTCACTGCATGTGGCAGCTGCATGGTGGTATGGTGGCAGAACTCAGGACCCGCGGGCTCTAGGCTAACTGTGTTAAGTCACTTCACCTCACTAAAAACCGATTCATCTTGTTACCTAACATTTCAAAAATTCGCATTAGTTCTTTTCTGTAAGCAGTTGTTCGGTTTTCTTATTTGCAGTGAACATTTAATATAAAAGATAGTGTCTTCTTTTCTAATGTGTTAAACACTATTATATTTCAGAAAATGCACAGTCATCAGGGGTTTGGGGAGTCAATAAGATTATTTCTTCTTTGTCATCTGCTTTTCCTGTATTTGAAGATGGAAACAAAGAAAACTATGGGTAAAGATGCATGTAATTAATTTGTGGGTATTATATGGTGGCATAGAAACAGAGAAGCTGACAGTGTTCCTCTGGGGGCCAAGATGAGGTACTAATGAGAGGAAGCTGACATGTCCATCAAATGGTCTGGGATCTATTCCCATGTCTGCTATTGACTGGGCCTTCTGACCATAGGATGCAGTGGTGGTTGCTGAGAGTTTTCTCCGGATCTGCATTACTGCACGAAAGTGATGAGAAAAGACAGCCTTGCCATAGCAAAAACATGTGTTGAGAAAGGAAAACTATGGTTACAGGTTATCAAAGAACTAAGTTTCTGTGGATTTGAAATTGTAGTAAATGTGATTCTGCTTATATATGCAGAATTGTTAAAGTAGAAAAGGAAGTGCCTTACATCAGGAAAGGCTACAGAAAAAATGTGTCTTCAGGCTGAGGGACATGGTGTTAAAGAACCATATCTAGAGGTAGAGTGGGATAGCACTGGAATTCTCACTGTTACCAGCTTAAGTCCTAGAAGGAGATGTGTCAGTTGTGAAAGGGCATGAACAGGTCTCAGAGAGGAAATCACTCATACTTAAATGAGCATATTTGACCGTTTATAATTTTTCAAATGTCTTCTTAGATTACCACAGCCTAAAAATAAACCCACAAGAGCCAGGACCTTTGGAGAACGCTCTCTAAGAAGACTTTCCATAAAACCAAATGTAAGTAAATCTGCTTTATCTATGTAAGGGGTCTCACAACTCTTGCCTCTTCATATAACCTCCTGATGTGACAATCTAATGGCACAGTGTGTATAAAACCATGCTGGAAAGCACTCATACCACCTTATATAGTGAATGTGTTTCTTTTAGAACAGGTTAGTGAGAGGGAAAAAAAAAAAAACAAATCTGAGTACAACTAGAATGGTCTGTCTTCAGCATAGCTCAGCAAACAAGCTTGCCATGGACTTTGGAACACAACAATATTCTGTGTCAGTTGTCATTATGTCCAGCCCATGGTCAGCCCTGTCCCAGTCCTGAACATTACCCACTGTGACTTTCCTTTGTACTCAGCCCCTCTGCCTGTCACCCTTCCTGAGGAAAGGTGTTAACCCTGGTTCGTTGTTTTAATTCCCTCGTGGATTCTTTTGGATAAATGATTACTCTGTCTTCTAACCCTTCTGATGAACCATTTAACTATTTTCTTAAAACTATTCCAATGAATGGCCTAAACCCCAAAGCAAACCCACTGGCATCAAGTCAGTTCTAACTCATAGTGACCCTCTCTAGGGTTTTGGAGGCTGTAAATCTTTATTGGAGTAGAAAGACTCATCTTTTATCCATTGAGCAACTGGTGGGTTTGAAATGTCAACCGTGCAGTTAGCAGTCCAGTGCTTATCGTACAGTGCCACCAGGGCTAAATTTTAAATATACTGGCATTCCTTCTTAGATGCATTTTAGTAAACATACAGGTTAAGGAAAAGCACACGCACAGTCCTGGCCCTAATCACAAGACATTGCTTTATTCTGTGTCCACCTGAGGGAACAACCTACTTTTCCTCCAACATTGGAAAAGATATGCTGGAATGTATGAAGATAATGCAGATATGTAAAAAGCACGAGTGTCATTTTATAGGCAATTGAAGGGGCTTGTCCAATGTAAATATACAGTTTCTGTCTGTATGTACGTATTCTAAAACCTGACCTCCACTTTCCTGGAGAAATAGCTAATTCTAGGGCTGGGGAAGTGATAAAACACAACAAGAAAAAGACGGGGGCATGCCCTCAGGACACAGGGACCAACCTGAACAAGTCAGTGTCCAAAATTGGAACAATCTGAGTAAAAAATAGTCGTGTGGAAAATAAAACAGATACCTCTACTGATACAAATGAACAGGGGAGAAAGCATACATCTTCCTTAGAAAAGAATTCCAGATAATAAATATGGAAGGCATGAGCAGCATTGAAGAATCACCACTCAAATGCCAGAGTAATAACTACTTCCCATGAGCTTGATGAGTGAATTCTAAAAATAATGGGTACAACGCTCAGAAACATGACATTTGCGGAGCTTCTTTTCCCTCCAAATATCTATTAATTACTTCTTGTTGTGTGGTTAAGTGCTGTTGAGTCGTTTCTGACCCATAGCGACCCTGTGTAGGTTTTCCAAGGAGCAGCTGGTGAGCTTGAACCACCAACTATGCAGTTCAAACTGACTTTGCAGTCTGGCGCATTAACCCACAGTTAATTACTTAGGCGGTTTAAATGTATGTCCACATAATCGTTGAATGCTTCTGTTCAGGAGGTGGATCTTAATGCCTTTCCCCTTCATTGTGAGCTGAACTCAGTGATCTTCCTATAGCAAAAAGAATGGAGATGGTAGGAATTAGTAACTGCTTTAGAGTGCAAAAACTCAGAAGAAATCCCTTAACCAAGTGATTATGTTTCTCTCATTAATTTGTATAAATTGTATTGCTATCACATGTATTCCCTAATATGATTTAATAAGAAAGATGCTTTCCTTCTGGTATTCTTCCCAAAAATGTATAACCAATTTAATGTGAAAACAAACAAACCCAAATTGGAGGGACGGTCTACATCATTCCTGACCAGTACTTTTCAAAAATGTCAGTGCAAGAAAGACTGATAAACTGCCAAAGTATGCAGAAGACTAAGGAGTCATGGAGTTAGAAAACCAAAAGGGAAGAACATTCTCAGCATTTCTCATGCTAAAAGAACTAACTGAAAAAAAAAAATTGTGTGCCGTGACTTACAACATTGAAGGATTCTATGGGCAAAATATTGGATGAGCAGAAAGCATCAAAAGAAGGAAGAAGTCCAAGCTGCACTTAAGGCATTGGTGAAAACCAAGGCTCCAAGGATTGATGGATTATAAATCGAAATCTTTTAACAAACTGATGTAATATTGGAGGGGCTCACTTGTCTATGCCAAGAAATTTGGAAGACATCTACTTAGCCACCTGGTTGGAAGAGATCCATATGTGTGCCCATTCGAAAGAGAGGTGACCCAAACAGAAGAATATGGAAACCATTGAGCAATATCTTTAGTAGCACATGTAAGTAAAATTTTGTTGAAAATAATTCAAAATGGTCGTAACAGTGTATTGACAGGGAACTGCCAGAAAATAAGCCAGATTCAGAGGAGTATGTGAAACTAGGAACATCACTGCTGATGTCAGATAGATGTTGGCTAAAAGCAGAGAATACAAGAAAGATGTTTACTAGTGTTTTATTAACTATGCAAAGAGTTTTGACAGCATGGACCATGACAAAGTATGGATAACATTAGAAAGAATGGGTATTCTAAATCACTTAGTTATGCTCATGAGGAACATAAACCAAGAAGCAATCATTCAAATAGAACAAGGGGATAATGAATGATTTATACCTTTCACCATAGTTTTTCAATCTGTATGTTGAGCAGATAATCCAAGAATAAGAACATGGCATCAGGACTAAAGGAAGACTCATTAACAACTTGTGATGTGCAGATGATACAACCTTGCTTACTGGAAGTGAAGAGGACTTAAAATACTTACTGATGAAGAACAAAGACTACAGTCTTCAGTATGGATTGCACCTCCATGTAAAGAAAACAAAAATCCCCATAAGTAGATCAATAAATAACATCAAGCTAAATGGAGGAAAGATTGGAAGCACATATTGCATTAGGCAAATCCGTTGCATAAGACTTCTTTAAAGTAGTAAAGAGCAAAGATAATCAGTTTGAGAACTGAGGTGCGCCTGACCCAAGCCATGATATTTTCAATCACCTCATATACATGTGCAAGTTGGACAATGAATAAGGAAAACTGTAGAAGAATCAGTGCATTTGAATTAGGGTGTTGGAGAAGAATGTACCATGGATTGTCGGAAGAACAAACAAATCTGTCTTGGAAGATGTGCATCCAGAATGGTCCTTTGAAACAAGGATGGCAAGACTTCACCTCTCATACTTTTGGGTATGTTATCAGCAGGAATCAGTCCATGAAAAAGGACATCATGCTTAATAAAGTGAAGGCTTCGTGAAAAACAAAAAGATCCCCAATGAAATGGATTGACATAGTAGCAGCAGCAATGGGCTCTAACTTAAACAATGATCATGAGGATGGCACAGGACTGGACTTCATTCTGTTGTCCATAGAATTGGAACTGACTTGTTGTCACCTAACAACAATGACTAATAGTATTCTGGGTTGGAAACTGAAACAGAAAAGTACATGGGGAAAAAAAAAAAAAGGTGGAATCCAAATAAAATCTGTTGTGGTAGTATTGTGGAGTTCTGGTGTGGTGCTGTCGGTTAATGTGCTGGACTGCAAAGTTGTTTCAACTGCCAGGTTGGAATTCAAGTTCACCAACCTCTCAGAAACACCATGAGTCGGAACCAACTTGACAGCACTTAACAACAATAACAAGTTCTTAGTTTTTACAAATGTCCTATGGTTATGTAAAGATGTTATCATTAACAGAAGCTTGGAAAAGGGACCTCCTATATAATCTTTGTAACTTTTTTATAAGTTAAAAATTTTTTTTCCAAATAAAACAATTGTTTTTTAAAATAAACAAAAAGCCAATGCTTTCTGGAGATGGGCTATGTAATGACATAGTATCCCAGTTGTGGGAAAAAGAACAGAACATTGATGTCCTTAGCTGTGTATTAGCCAGGGGAAGAAAGATTTTTGCTGTTTTTCATTGCACCCTCTATTACAGGAAGTACCTCAGACTGAGGAGTTTTTGGATGATTCAACCATATCGGGCATTCGCTGCAATAAAACCCTGGCACCCATTCCTAGAAGCATTGGAGACTTTACATCAGATGCTCATCTTGCATCTACCCCATTCCACAAACTCCCAGTAGATTCACTGAACACTCTAGAAGATAAAGGTGTGTGTCTGTTACTATTTTAGTGTCTGTTCTCTGCCAACTCTGATTTTTCATTACAGCTTTCTTCCTGAAAATTCTAAATGGGAAGTTTAAAAATTGTAAAGTGAAAACATAGTATTCGTTCATTGTTTTATTACTTAGATGAGTTTTTTTCTAGTGTCATTCTGTCTTCTTAAAGCCTCTGAATTTCTAAAATTGAATAACTTAGATTATAGGTGTTATTGTTGTTAAGTGCCATCAAGTCAGTACCGACTCATAGTGACCATATGCACAGCAGAACAAAACACTGCCCAATCCTGGGCCACCCTCATTACTGTTGCCACGCTTGAGTTCATCAATGCTGCCACTTGGCCAGTCCATCACGCTGGGGGTCTTCCTCTTTTTCTCTGACCCGCCCACCTTAATAAACATGATATCCTTCTCCAGTGTATGATAGACAAAGTTTGGCCATTGCAAGAGAAAAACCTACCAGTATTTAAAGGCAAATATCACAGAGTCCAACCCACTTAAATTCATTGTTAGCTGCTATCGAGGTGGGTACCCACTCTGTGCACAACTGTACGGATCACTGCCTCAGGTACTCTACCCCCAAGGTGGTTCGCAGAACCAACTGTTCTGATTCATCCAGTTTCTATTGACTGGTTTTCAAAAGTAGATCTCCAGGCATTTCTTCTTAATCCAGTGGAATCTGGAAGCGCCCAGATAGACAGGTGGTGGATGTAGGTGAGGTACATTAGCTGAGAATCCATCTGGGAGGCAAGAGTTCTTCCAGTTCCTCATCCTGATTATATAGTGTGTGTTTAGATTACATTTCACAACACATGAAATGACCACTGTGGACTGGTTATTTGACTGCTAAAAAGAATGGAAACCTGCATTTTCTAATAAGTGTAGTAAATAGCCAATTTTAGATCCCTTATTATGTGTCTGGAGTCCTGGTATGGCGCTTCAGGATAATACGCTGGATCACAAAGTCAGTTTCAACTGCAGGGTCCACAGTTCAAACCCATCAGCTATTCCTTGGAAACCCTATACAGAGTCACTGTGGGTTGGCACCAATTAGATGCCATTTAATCACAACAACATTATGTGTCTACAAATTTTATCATTTTAGAGATGTAGCATAGCTAATTACTCAGAAAATCATGATCTAATCACAAGAGAATGAAAAAGCTCATTAAAGTGGGCATTACTGGACACAGATAAATAAAAAGAGCACAACAGTGGAACAACAGGGCTCGTGGATACAAAGATTGAGGCATGGTGTGAATGGGTAAAAGTGGGGAAATGATGTTAAGATGCTTGGCTATCTGTTGAATCGGTTTCCCTTGCCTACTATTATAAAATAGACACTTGAAGGAGAGAGAGAGAAATAGCCAGAAACATCACCAGAGAAAACTTGTAAGTCCTTTCATCGTATAACTGTTTGGAATAACTAAAATGGGGCTAGAAATTGCCCAGTGAAGGAGGCTCCCTCCAGAGCCTTTGCATTGCACAAGAACATAGGTGGAATTCTGATCCCCATCCAAAATCTTTTGAGGTGGGACGTTTCCACATGAAAGGACAAGCAGACCAATCTGGAGCAGCTAGAAGAAGAGAAGATACTTCTTGAAAGAAGACCAGCAGGAAAAAAAATCAAAAACAATAACAGCAGTCCAGTTGACTACTACAAGAACAAGTAAGTTGTTCCCCAGGGAGCCATCAAGGCAAGTGGCTAGGTCCCCTCAAGACAAACCCCCTTCCAAGACTGAAATCCAATTGGAATACATTAGCAGACAATGTGGTCCTGCTGCTGACCACGTTGGTAACCAATAAAGGGAAGTAGGGGAAAAACAGCAATGAAGTTGTGAACTAAGTCCAACCACATTCAATAGACTCCTGTTAACCTGGATTGGGACCTGATTAACCAGCAGTATGACTAGACCTGGGGACTCTTGGGCTCAGGGGCAGGGACGTGGCCCCAGAGGACTAGAATGGAGTGTGAGGCATCCCGCTGATATGAAGTGTGGGGAGATGCACAAGAACACCCACACTTGCAGATAGTACCCATTTGGCTGGATGATTAGAACACGACTAGAGGAAGAAAGCAGAGGAACAAACCACAAAAAAAGAAGGAGTAACCCACTACAAGTAGATGAACTAGACCTATGCTTGTGGATGCAGTATGACAAAGAAGAGGACAAATCTCTACATTGAGGATCATTCCCATCCCCTTGGTACACAGGGTCGACAGGAATGGGGAACTTAGACATTGGCTACCCAAAATGGGGGACTACAAAGGCAAGAAGTGCTGGCTTACAAGCTTTCAATAGGGAACCTAGCTCCACAAGATACAGGGAAAAGTAGACTCTCCATTGAATTGTTTCCAACCTGTCTGGATGGGGTTGATAAAAGGTGAGTGGGAAAGGACTCCTGTGGTTCAATAGGGAATGATTGCTAACAGTGAGTGCTGGAAGGGTAAATGTAAATGTTTGGTAACAAAAGGAGGGGAGCTGCTGATTTTAAGCCGAGATCCCTGGAACTATCAAGGGAGAAAAAGGAAGTGCGAGACCCTGTCTGTGGAGGCAGTGACACTAGGGATGGAGGCAGAGATGATGTGGTGGACAGAAGGAGCGGCTGGGGACTCTGGACTTAGGGAGAGGGGCTGTGGGCTGGTGGCGGGGGGCAGGAGTGTGGGGTTGTACCCTTTGGTTATTTGATGATGCATGCAGGGGACTGAGACCATTGCAATGAAACAAAATACGATAGGATGCATGTAAAGATAATGTTCACCCATGTAAACTAGCACATAATTCACAATAAAAACGTCAAAAAATAAAAGTGATAGTGAACAAAGATGTCACTTTGAGTACTAAGGTGCTCCTGACTCAAGGCATGTTATTTTCAATAGCCTTATATGCATGTGGACAAAAGTTAAGGAAGAGAAAGAGGAATTTATGTATCTGAATCATGATGTTGGTAGATCATGTTGAAATTACCATGAACTGCTGGAAGAACAAACAAATCTGTTTTGGTATAGTAAAGTCAAGAAACAAGGATGACTACATTTGGTCTCACATACTTTAAATAAGTTATCAGGAAAGACCAGACCAGTCCCTGGATAAGGACATAAAACTTGGGAAAATAGAGGGTCAGTGGAAACAAGAAATCCCCAAATGATGTGGAGTGATAGAGTTGCTCCAACTATGGGCTTAAATATAACACCAATTGTGAGGAGAATGACACAGGACTGATAAATGTTTTGTGCATAGGATCGCTAGGAGTGGAAATCAACTGATCTTGTTTCTGATCTATAATTTTGCCTATTTTCAAAAGCTTTTAAGTTGAAACATATTGCATGTAGTTCTTAGATCTTATTTCTTTCACTAGGAAAAATGTATTCTGTATCCATGCTTTGAGGAATCTATCATTCATTCATTCATTTATATAAATTGACTTATTTATACACTGACTACTGTGTACCTTGATTATATCTGTTTTGGGTGGTTATCAATAAAACTGCTATAAAACTTAAAAAAGAAAGTCATTAATTTCTCCTCAAATGTAACACCCCTTATTAAAGATCTTTATATATCTGAACTGAACCTTAATATATGACATTTTCATTGAGCACAGATAATTCTTAACTATTGAAAATATATACTTTCATGACTACTAATATACCAGCTGTTGGGCTGCTAACCAAAAGGTCAATAGTTCAAACCCCCCAGCCACTACAAAAGAAAAAGACAAGACTCTCTTTTTCCTGGGACCTTTGTGGGGTCAGGTCACGATGAGTCGTAATGGACTACTGCGTGGCTGTTGGTGGGAAGAGACTAGCTAACCTGTAGCACTGCTGACACTCTGTGCTCACCAAAGCTATCATGAAAGGTCTCCATAGAAATTTTATGGCCATTGGTGGAGACATTTTAATGTGATGTGAGAGCCTCATTGGCCTAAAAATTTCTGACTAAGGAGTTAGAATTTCTTATCAGAAACATAGACATTTCTTTTAGAATTTTAAAGGTGAGTTCAGTTGGAACTTGGATAATTCTTAAGCACCATCATAAGCTTCCACTTTAATAAAGAAAAAAAATTAAACTTTATAATAGGAAAAACTAGTTTAATCAGTCAAGAGTTAAAAAGTCAATGTTGACTGTTGTTTTTAGAATATTTGTCACTTCAGCAGTATAAATAGAAGATAGTGTTCTAGAACTAAAAAGTATTAACACTTGTTTACTGAGGCAATATCTGATAAAACTTAATCCAGTGTTAACATCACATGGTAGAATTTTCCTCTACATTTCTACCATATCTATTTTGTGTTACTCTCTGGAGTCTTTTTTTTCCTGAAGAAATGTTACATGTATAGAGTTTAAATATAAATATATATTTATAGTAGAGTTTTTAAGTGATTTTTCCCTCATTTAAACAATCTTATAGCTTCTTTTGCATCATTCATCTGTCAGTTTTTCATACTGTGGTGGAGTGCATGTTGCTATGATTGTTGAGTATGCCACCAGTATTTCAAATACCAGCAAGGTCATCCATGGTAGCCTGGTTTTAACAGAGCATCCAGATTAAGACAGACTAGGAAGAAGGACCTAGTGATCTACTTCTCAAATGGATTGGCCAGTGAAAACCTTATGGAGAACAGTGGAACATTATTTGATACAGTGCTGGAAGTTGAGCCCCTCAGGTTGGAAGGCATTCAAAATATGAATGGGGAAGAGCTGTTTGCCTAAAGTAGAGTTGACCTTAATGACGTCATGGAATAAAGCTTTCAGGACTTTCATTTACTCATGTGGTATGACTCAAAATGAGAAGAAACAGCTGCAAACATTCATTAGTTATTACAACATGCAATGTACAAAGAGTCAAAGAAAACTGGAAATTTTCAAAAATGAAATTAAATGCTTGAAGACCAATATCCTAGGCATTAGCTGAAATAGATTGGTATTGCCATTTTTAATTGGACAATCATATAGTCTAACTATCAACACTCATGGATGCAGTTGTCATTATATCAAATGGCAAATGGATTGACACAGTGGCTGCACCAGTGGTCCCAAACACAGCCACAATTGTGAGGACGGTGCAGACCCAGGCAGGGTTTTGTTTTGTTGTACATAAGGTTGCTGTGAATCAGAATTGACTTGACAACACCTAAGAACAAAAACAGTAATTATAGATATTTTATCATGGGGTCACAAATTTGAAGTCTTTGTAATCATAGCAGATTTGTATATGTGTGTTTATAATATGTTTATAATTTTCTCTCTATTTCAGAAAATGTGTTATCAAAACCGGGCACCCTTGTGACTTTAGATTCTCATGAAGAAAACAGGGTGGAGCCCTCAAAAACCAAAAAGTTCAGGTATCATGTGGGTTTATGTGTTTCTGTCTTTTTCTCCATTTCTGTTTAAGTGTAATTTTTAAATGGTAATTGAATCCCTAATTCTAGCCCTTAAAGATTAATAAGGTTTTTTGTTTGTTGTAAATTTTTAGCCAGAAAGTACTTCCTATAGCTATAAACACAATGATGACACTAAACACTTGATATTCTGGAGCAATGAGAGAAGGGCTAGAGTCTCTAGAGACGTTGGGGATCATTGTCTTATGATTGACTTCTACTCATTTGGGGGGCAGACCTCCAAATTCTTAACAGCCTTTCTATTATAAAACTGAGAAAGTACCTAATTACATCTTTATTCCCATTATAATGTAGGAAGTTGAAAAGTTTCTTTCAAGACGAGGTGGTGGTTGTTAGGTGCCTTCATGTCGGTTCCAACCATAGCAGCCCTTTGTCTAATAGGGTGAAACATCACCCAATCCTTCTCCATCCTCACCTTCAAGAGGAGGTGGAAGATATAAATGTTTAGGTGTTAGATAATAAAAAGTAACTGCTGTCTTTTGTATACGTATATTTCCAGTGTCTATGTTATTCATGCACTGTACCCTTTAAGTAAGTCTAACAGTTACTTTAGTGGTAGGAACTATTCTCTTCTCACATTATAGATGAAGAAACCAGGTCTCAGAAGGGCTAAATAGTTGATCTGAAGACATACAACTTCTTAGTGACAGAATTGGAATGTACTTCTTTTTAACATCTCTGGTTAAGAAACTGCTCTCACCACTGTCCTTGACTGCCGCTTGTTATCTAAAACTTCTTATTGAAAGTATTCTCTGAACTAAACTCCCAATAAAATTAATGAATAAAAGATATGAGCAAACTTAACAAAAGAAAAAATAATAAGCACATAAAAAAATTCAATAAAATGAATGCCTTTTAACTTAAGAATTGTGCCCAGTTGCACTACCTTCCAGTGGAAGTTTTATTTCTACGTTCAACTAAACTTTTAGACTGACCGACTTCCACAGGCCACACTTGGCATGAGATTAACTTAGAAGGCTCTAGGACAAAAATCATTTGCCAGCAGGATGCACACAGTTTTGACCCTGTATGATGCTTCAGCATGAGACTCATGGAGGTCCAGCAGCAGGAGCTACCCCAGCTCAGAAGCCTGGTCCAGTGTCAGTGGCTCTCTGAACCATTCCAGAGACTTAGCTTCCAAGTTCCCACATCACACTGAGTCATCAAACTCAAGAAAGCCTGAGGCTATAACCACCAGTTGTTACTTATGATTCTTCGGAGCCACATGCAATTTACCAGTGAGGCTTATTTTTACCAGAAACCATGATAAGAGAGGGACTTTCCACCATTTCAGGCTCACAGGGTGGGGGGAAGAGCTAGAAAGTTAAGCAAAGGTCAGGCTCCTGTAGGATTTTTTTGTTTCCTGTAGGATTTTGTTTTGTGTATTATTCATGTATCTACATTAATTTGGGTACTTAGTTTGCTCATAGCAAGGCACATGGGTTTGGAAACAACATTTTCAGTGTGTATGGATACTCTCTGTTTTATTGTCAATAACATGAAACACTAGGAATATTTTTAGTATCTAATATACATGAAATTGTTATATGCTTGTATGTATTCACTGGGTTAAATGATGTGCTGTCTTAAAAGTCCGTGGTGGTGGATATACCACCTTTACCTCACCATTGATGTTAGGTTGATATCACGTGCCCCTAATAGAATGAAGACTCTGATAGTCATCCCCACACCCTGTAATTCCAGCCTAGTCATGAGGAAAGCATTAAAAAAATCCATTGAAGGGACATTCTACAAAATACCTGGCTAGTACTTTTTTTTTTTTTTTCAATGTTTTATTGTGAATTGTGTGATAGTCTACATGGGAGAACATCAGCTTTACATTCATTCCATCATCCATCATTTCGTTGGCATAGTTATCATCCTGTCCATGCATCCTCACCCAACCAAGGGGTTTACCCTGTTAATGTGTTAGGAAAGTAGTCTGAGAAACATCACAGATGAGAAAAGAATAAGGAGAGATAACAACTACATGCAACTTGGATCCTGAACAGATCCTAGCACAGAAAGGACTGTCAAGATCTGGTCAAGTCTGGAGTTTATTTAATAGGAATGGAGCAAACCTGGTTTGTAAGTTTTGAAAGATTTAGCCTGGTAATGGAAGATGATAACGTTAGTAGAAACTACCTAGATAAGGAGTATATGAGAATTCTCTGCAATCCTTACAACATTTTAAAAAATGTGAATCTATTCCAAAATAAAAAGTGTATTTACAAATATATATATGGTAGGAGAAACATTTGTGACAAGTGAAAATAGCAGCCTATGAAATTGCAGGTATAAATTCATATGTGTTTAAAGATATTTATAAGGAGCTCTGGTAGCGTAGTGGTTACGAATTGGGCTGCGAACCTTAAGGTCAGCGGTTCGAAACTACCAGCTGCTCCGCGGGAGAAAGATGAGGCTTTCTACTCCCGTAAGGATTTACACCCTCGGAAACCCTGTACAGGGTCGCTATGGGTCGGAACCGACTCGACGGCACTTAACAACAACAACATATATACTTCTATATGTGTGTGTATATATGTGTCTGTGTCTGTCAATATGAAAATATACCAGATGTTTGATTTTGTCTCTGAAATAAAGGTAGTCAGTTTTGACTGCAAAACTTATGCTTAGGTAAGAGTGTATGATTGTTATTAAGTGTTGTTAAGACTTGTACTCATAGCAACCCTATATGGGGTTTCTGAGGAATGACTGGTGAATTTGAATCACTGACCTTGCGGTTCAAACTGACCTTGCCATGTCTTTGATTTTAGTTCTGTTTATATTGTATTAGCTGTGTTTGAATGCCATTTGTCATATAAAGAAAAGTGTGAGGTAATTTTTCAGTTCTAGAGTGAAAAAAATCTTTCTAATTCAAAGATTTCTAATCCCATGGTATTTTGGGGCTTTGTTTGTTTATTTTTCCCCCATTCTTTATCCCATTCCCACATCCAGTCCAATTCAAGAAAAAACTTCAGAACAAGCATTATCCATAGACATGCCTCCTGCCCCCTTGTTGGGTCTGAGCCAGCCTGCTGCATACGATGTGCTTACCAGTGAAGCTGAGCAGAGCCTGGAGGCTTGTAAACTCACAGACCCTGATGTTGCCATGGAGGAGGACCCATCAGGCGTCAGTGCTGGGCTCCGAGCAGAACCAGTGCCGAGCAGTTCAGTTGGAAATGCCGATGCTCCAAGTAAGAACCGATGTTCAGTCTTCATTGTGCTGCTGAACGAGGACAATAGTGTGGATAAACCTGAACGAAACTCACAGAACCAGGGTTTGAAATATACTGGGTGGGACCCAAGTTCACACATAACTAGCACAGGGGCATTGCAGTGCATTGCAGCAGCAGTTCACCTGAAGGGAAATCGGTCCATTGTTAATCACTGTTGTTTAGTGTCATCGAGTCGGTTTTGACTAATAGTGACCCTGTGTAGGGTTTCCAAGGAGCGGCTTGTGGGTTTGAGCTGTCGACCTTGTGGTAGCAGTCCAGTGCTTATCCTACAATGCCACAGATTTTGAATATTAGAAGATAGCAAAGTAAGTACTGTTTGAGGAGGAAATTAGAATTTAAGGGCCTAGAATATGCAAGGCAATTTTTATTTAATACTGTTACCCTCATTTTACAGAAAAGTAAATTGAGGCTTCTTGTTGCATTCCATCAATACTGTTCTGACTCAGAAACCCTATATAGGATTTCTAAGGCTGTAAATCTGTACGGGAGCAGAGAGTCTCACCTTTCTCCCATGGAGTGGCTGGTAGATTCAAACCACCGACCTTGCAGTTAACAGCCCAACATGAAACCCACTACATCACCAGTGCTCCAAAATTGAGGCTTAGGGTGAAAGGAAAGCTCCCCCACCATCCCACAGAAACTGTTATATACTAGGTAAGAGCTCCCAAATTGAACCTTAGGGTTAAAGAAAAGCCCCACTGTCCCACAGAAACAGTGTTATGTAGTAAATAAGAGTGCTGACCCTGGAAATGCACATTCTGCTAATCCTTGCTCCCCGCTTAAATAGACAGGTGAGCTTGCCGGGGTCATCCCGGCTCGGAGTAGGGTGATGGTTACTACTGATCTAAGGAGCATGGGGGTGCCCTGGGTAAGCACTTACTTCTAACTGAAAGGTTGGCAGTTTGTACCTACCAGCCACTCCGTGGAAGAAATGTGACAGTCTGCTTTCCGTAAAGATCACAGCCTTGGGAACCCTATGGCAGCTCCCCCCTGCCCTGCAGGGTCTCTATGAGTCAGCACTGACTCAGCTGTAAGGGGTTGAGTACTCACTTCAGAACTTGTGAGCACTGAATTAAATGTAAAGCACTTAACAATATTATGCACAGGTTTAATGTTTATATTAATATATATA